CAAACAAACAGACCAAAAGAACTAAAACCTCCAGGCTTTGTTTCTTTTCTATGAGGTTGTCTGGTATTCTGAATTTCTCCCTGACTTGGTTCCCCCCAATATTTTGATTTTATTATTAGAACAGTTACTTTTCAGTTCAGTATTAAAAAGGTTTTAATGGAGTCAGGCTAAAAAAATATATTGATGATTCTTAGGCAACAAAGAGATTTTCCTACTAAATAATTAACATTTTCCTCTTAAATTTTTCTGTTTAGAGTAAATTAGAATGGAGAATTCCCTTGTTCAGGAGCCATGCTGATATTCTCTGTCCATGCTATTCTATGAGTAAATTAGAATGGAGAATTCCCTTGTTCAGGAGCCATGCTGATATTCTCTGTCCATGCTATTCTATGAGTTTTAGGACCACAGTCATCTGAACATGTGTATTCATGTACTTAATAGACTTTATGTGTAACTTTGCCTTGAAAGCATTGACAACGGTAGGAGGCAGTTGTGTTCCACTCAGGCATGTGTACTGACAGATGGAGAAAACCTTTTCCTGTTGATTTTCAACATTCCCACTCTGCAAGACTTCAAGCTCTTCTTGGCTACTGGGAAATTAAAAGTTGGCGATTCAGCCTTTAATTTTGATCCATCTGCTCAAACTAATGAGACGTCTCATTTGTAAGCTTATCTTTGTGTTGCCAAATGCAAGTACAGCTTTATCATTCCTGTTAATAGTTCCCTTCCTCCTGTGTAGCTTGCAGAATGGGAAAATAATTGATGCCTTAGTTCTACTGATATTTTCTTCTTATACAAACTTTGTTAAAATAATAGGATGACAAATTAGGAACTTTCTGCAATTATGTTTAATAGGTGAACTTTTCATATCAAACTTTCAAAAGAAAACCATATCCTTATTTAGTAGCTTCTTATTCAAAAACCAACCTCCCAATTGATGAAGGAAAACATTTGGTTAAAGAGGACCCAAAGAACCTAAACCTTCCTAAAACTAAACACCAATCTTTAGTTATGCTATACGTGTATCTTATTTTCTTTTCCTTATTGTTTTTATTTCAAATTTTAAAACATCTCCTAAAATTGACTAATAATTAGATGAACTTTCTGTCTGAAGATAATGATTGGGGGGGGTATTTGTGTGTGTTTGCGTGTTCTTGTCTGTGTTCCTGTACCACAAAGGTTGACATCAGGTTTCTTTCTCAGTTGTTTTCCACAGTATTTTTTGAGACCTTGAGCTACAGATTTGGCTAGTCTTCCTGTCCAGGGATCAAGCCATTACTATAGCTGTAGATTTTTGTCTTGCCAGGTCCCACCACTCCACCCCCAAATGAACACAGAGAGACTTATATTATTTATAAAACTGTTGGCCAAATGGCTAAGGCTTCTTGCTGGCTAGCTCTGTCTTAATTATTGATCCATAACTACTAATCTGTGTATTTCTACATGGCCTTATCTTGCAGGAGAACACCTGGCACGTCCTATCTTCCCAATCCCTCAATGGTGTCTCCTTTGGTGCCTCCAAGCCTGCTTTTCCCAGAATTCTCCTCATCTCCTCTTCTCTGTCTTTCTGCCTCTCCTGGCTATTGGCCAAACATTGTTTTATTCATCAACCAATAAGAGAAACATATATATATATGGACATCTCCCATCACATTACTTCCTACCCCAAACTGGGATTATAGAAATATGTAGCCATACCAGACTTTTTACATGTGTGCCAGAGATCAGAGCTTAGGCAGACTCTCCTCCTGTACAGCTGACTGAGCTAACACTTGAGTCCTTGTTTAGTAACGTTGTTTCTCAAGTTTATTCATATACAATCAAAACAAATTCTGATGACATTTGAATATTAAAGATAGTATTCCTTCATCTTTACTACAAAAGAAGGCACTTAAAAAGGAAGTATAGTTTTAGACTGTAAGGAAGTCTGAAGAAAATATCTCCTATACCTCTACTCCTGAACTCCATCTCATCTCTACTTCTGTTTAGTCTTACACAAAATTGAAATTTGCTTTAGAGGTTTTAATACTTATGGGATCTGTATTTTTTCTGTATTAGCATTATGATCATTTTATTTTCTGTCTTATGCAAGCAATATTTAAAATAGTTTATAATTTATTACATATACTTCTCTTAAATAAGTGCTATTCATGTCTAAAAGTAAGGCACACAAGGGATTGAGATATTCATTTCTTCATTACAGAATTAAGTTAGCCATCACTTATAGACTTTTATGGTGAAGACCTTGGAAGCACATTAGCTTTCCATTTGGGTCAAATGCCTTTCATCGGGTCAAATGTGGTTTAGAGCCGAGTTCAATATTTAGCTAATATGAAGGTTAAGAGAATATCACCAATGTAAAAGTAATTTCTAGTGTGTCATGAAAATTTATAACAGTTACATTTTAATTATTAATTTATTAGTTACATTTTAAACTTTGCACTTGACTCTTGAGAAAACATTGATTTTTTTCCCCCTAGTATGAATCATTACTACACTAGCTCAGCTCTTTGTATCTGTCTACTTTAAGTTTTAAACTTAAAGATCAAATAAAAAAATGTTCTGTCTAAGTTTAGGAAGAAAAATCAAAATAAAACAAAATTTTATTTTGATGAAACTGGTGCAAACCTTGTCTATGTGGGTTCTAATCAAATCTACCTAATACGTGACTTCTACATTTTCTATTACATAATATTTTATAGGACGACTCAACCTAGGTTTAATGACCTTTCTTAAGATTAAATTCATATTTTGCATTTTGAGAAAAGTATCATGGAATCCATGCTTGGTTGAGCTTAGTTTCTCATAGGCAATTTCATGACTGTTCTTCCTACTCCTGTTCTGGCCCTCTTCGTGTTTCTCATAGGCAGTTCTCATGTTTGAGACATATGTTACTAGAATTTTCGAGTATTGCTGCTTATTGCTTTCAATGCCTGGTTTATTAAACGGATTCTTTGAAAAGTTATTATTTTATCCTTTGTGACCAGCAATTGAGCTCTTATATTAATACTTTGTGACTCAGTACATAAGGTGCCACAGTTAAGTTTCCACCAACGGCCTTTAGGATTTCTGCTGGTTTCCTAACTTGTTGCTCCTTTAATTCTAATATGTATGAGAGATAGCTTCTTTTTCCCAGTTTCTCAAATTGTAACTTTATGGAGTCAGAGTCTTACCTTGTTTTAAAAGAGTGTTTTAATTCATTTTTAAACTTGTCTATTACTGCTTTGATAAAGCACCATGACCAAAAGCAACTCAGAGAAGAGTGAGTTTATTTGGTGTTTGCTTCCATATTACTATTCATTGAATGATAGGAACTCAAACAGGGCAGGAACCTGGAGGCAGGAGCTGATGCAGAGGCAAAGGAGGAGTGCTGCTTACTGGCTCCCCATGACTTCCTCAGGCTGCTTTCTTACAGAACCAGGACCACCAGCCCAGGGTGGTCCCACCCACAAAGGACTGACCTTCCATATCAATCACTAATTAAGAAAATGTTCTCACCTAGTGCTGGTTGTCCAACGCTTTATCCCCAGCACTTGAGAGGCAGAGACAGGTGAATCTCCGAGTTCAAGTCCAGTCTTTTCTACAGAACAAGTTCCAGGACAGTCTCTGAAGCAATACATAGAAACTCTGTCTCAATTAAAAAAAAGAACAAAGGAAAGGAAAGGAAAGGAAAGGAAAACTGTTCTCCATTCTTGCCTGCTGACTAAACTTAAGGAAGCATTTTCTCAGTTAAGATTCATTTCTCTAAGATGACTCTAGCTTTCAGATAGCCAGTGCAAAACTAGTGACCACGTTTTGCTGATAGGGACCACTTCAGACTGACTTATCTGTCCCTTTGACATGTCCATATAAATCTTTCATCCTTCACTTATTTTCTTTGTACAGTAGGATCATCTTCTTCTTTTCCTTGAAGTTAAAATTAACCTTTTCTGCAAAATAAGACTCTTTTAAAGGATTTGTTTATTCATGCTTGCATGGTACCTGTGGAGTCCATGAGGGGGTGTCAGATCCCTGAAACTGGAATTGAAGATAGGTGGTTGTAAACTGCTATGTGGTTGCTGGAAATAGTGCCTGGGTAACTGCTCAGCCTTCTCTCCAGTCCCCAAATATTTTTAAAATAGGTTCTTAGGCCAGGTGTTGGTGGCACATGCCTTTAATCCCAGCACTCGGGAGGCAGAGGCAAGCATCTCTCCGAGTTCGAGGTCAGCCTGATCTACAGAGCTAGTGCCAGAATAGGCCTCAAAGCTACAGAGAAAGCTGTCTCGAAAAACAAAATAAAACAAACAAACAAAAAGGTTCTTAGAAAGGAGTAAAACATTAAATATGATTATTTGATTATTTATGTTAAAAAATACCTTCAATACAGTTTTGAAACTCTTCATTAGAAGAGTTTCTTCCATAACTAACTTGGAATTTTCCAATGTTCTCAAAGATGCCACCACCAGGTAGGGCTATGGCCCCTGCCTGGTCAACCCTTTTCCAGGGAAGTCTCTGCTTCTGAGAATATTTGTGGAACACATACTCAGTTTTAAAGAAAGAAGATAAGGAGGATGGAGAGTTGGGATGAATCTGGACAGAGTCAAGAGAGCTATGAATACGATCAAACTACATTGTATGAAATTCTCAATTGAGAAAAGGATTTAAAAGTATGTTTTAAAGGTGTTGTCTGGTTAACTGTTATAGAGTTAGTAGCTTGTGTCTTTTGGTGGTACCATGTAGACTATCAGTTGAACTTTTCTTATAAAGGTAGGATTTTGTATTCTTTCTCTATCTGAAAAATACCAAGCTTGTGGGGGGGGGGACTGAAACACAAATGATTTATTAATGGAACGTTATCATGCTATTTTGTTATTGAATTTGTTAAAGCAAGTTTATCAGATAGTATTTGAAGAGTGGAAAGTAAAGCTAGTTCAGACCTCAAGAATCTTCATTACGAAGACCAGAATTTAATTCTTTTCACTTTATGTTGTTTAGATAAATCTCAAATAAAAATTAGGCAAGTCAGTTTACATTGCCAAATATTTCAAAAATGTTTCTTCGTTGAATCTGTGAAATAGTTATGAACAATTAAAATTAGCATTCCTGATTATGCCAATTTTTGCTGATGACTTTGGAGTCAGCTTTGAAACAGAATTGGCCGTGCACCAGTTTATGGAGAGTAATATCCATAGACCCCAAACAATGATTGATGATACAATTATCACAAGGCTACAGCTACAGAAAGAAATTGAAGCCCTGAAGGAGAAACTCCTATTCATGAAGAAAAACCATGAGGAGGAATACAAAAGACTAGAATCCCAGTTTGCCAGTTCTGGATTGGCAGTTGAAACAGATACCCCCCAGATCTCAAGACTCAGCAAGACCATGGCAGACATCTGGGCTCAGTATGAGGAGCTGGCTCGAAAGAACCACGAGGAACTGAAAAAGTACTGATCCAAGCAGATTAAGGAGAGCACCATAGTAGTCTCCACCTACCTGCTGAAATCATAGACAAAGATATCACACTCTTAGAGCATAGACACACCTTCCAGGCCATGTAGATTTATCCAGACTCCGTGAAAAGGCAGAAGGTCAACTTGGAGAACATTTGTGGGGATCTAGGGGCCTGATACAATAGACAGATGAAGTAACTAAGTGGGGTCCTTCTCTGCCTGGAGTCAGAGCTGGTATAAACCTAGGCAGAGAGGCAGTGCCACACTCAGTAATACAAAAGACCCAGGAATACAAAACCTTGCTGATTATCAAAGTCAAGCTTTAAGCTGATATTGCCACTTACTGCTGCATTCTGGCAGATGGGGAAGACTCGAGTCTCTATTCCCTGAGCTACAGCAAGTCCATGCAAACTATCCAGAAGACAACCACCTGTAAGGTTGAAGCTGGCAAAGTGGTCTCCTAGACCAGTGGGACTAGCATTTTGAAGTAGTGAGGCTAAAAAGGAGGGTACCCCTGGGACTAAGAGACCAATAAAAGTTGAGAGGCCACTGGATAAAATAATAATGATGGTTAATAATAATAATAATAAACCAAATTAACAAGCCATAAAAATATGTTCATATAGACCCAAACCTTATAATGATTTCTGTTGAAGCCTCTAGAAAATGCTTATAAGAAAAGGAGTATATTTTACTGAATAAGATATTATAGGTTCATTAATAAAAATAAATTGTAACTAATAATTCTCTTGGCTGCAGTGAAAACTCATATTAAGTCATACCAAAATTATGTAATGATTTGAGTCACGTTTTGTTTTTCATTATGTTATGTGTTCAGTTACTTTTTCATAATAGAGCATTTGAATCCTGGAGAATAGGCATGTGGTCATATTATAAAATACTTGCTAATAAGAAAAGCCATCTTGAGGCTATACTAATTAAGTAAGATATTAGTATTTTGTATGCATACATAGATAAAAATGGATGTCATATTTTCAAGAACTAACAGATTTGGGTTAACTTTTTCCTGTTAACTCACAATGCTGATAATCTTTCCTCTGAAGTCATGGGGAAAGATTTTTCTTCTTCCCTCCGAGAAAATTCAGAATTGCTCTAGATGCTGTGTTTATCTTTTTGTGGTACCCTGAAAGATTATTAGTTATTAAATTATTTCTGTTATTTCAATTTTGTTACGATTCTTAAGAAATTTTTCTGCAGTGCGAATTTTAATCACAATCCCATAGAGTCTCTTGGTTTTCTGCTACTGTTCCATTTCTATTACCAAAACATTCAAGGTAATCAAATTTAAAACAGGAAGTTTTAAATTTAAATTTTTGTGATTTTAGTATATATTTTGGTAGGCATGGTTATTTATGTATATATGATCTATGTTTAGTAGATATGTCTATTTCTGATGCTATGGTAAGGTGGAAAAGCATCTTGGTGGGGAGTGGATACTAAGTCAAAGTTGTTCACTTCATGTTGACTGGAAAGCAAAATGAAAAGGGATGGGACCAGAGTCCTACTTTCTCCTGTGAGGGTATGCGCTTGTCTGTGACCTAACAACTCCTTTGGCCCCACCTTTCCCAGTTAGTTACCATGGGATAGTAGCTGTAGACTGATCCTATAACTCTTAGGCCTTTGTGGAATGTTATACAGCACTCCTACTGTAGGCCCCCTAAGGAATGTTTAACCATTGCAGAATTGCTCAAAAGTCCATGTCTAGATTTCCTACTTCCAAGCAAATCTCACCCATGCATATTTGTAAAAATAAAAAAGTAAGTTATAACTCGGGAATGTAATCATAAACATTCCCATATGAAAAGTGAAGAATGGAAAAATAAGGAGGGATGAGACTATGATACAAATCATATCAATTTTTCATATAGACAGATGGTTTTTTCCAATTTTATATAAGGTGAATAAAAGCAAAATGAATCATATTTTCATCACAGAATTGTACAAACTGTGCTCCAAGTTTCATAAATACACTCATTAGCATGTAAATCAGTTCATACATCTATAACAAATAAGTCATGTTGCTAAATTTTCTTTGCCTTTATCCTGTATTTCTTTAAATGTTGGCTACTTCAGAAATCGTAGATTTTCTGTTGAAACTTTAGTAATCATTTTTATGTAATGATTTCTAAGCTAGTGTTAAGTTTTAATGTAAAGAACTGAAATGTTAAATAACCTGTTTTCCATCATTTTAGGTTATGGTATTTGTACATGCTCGCAATGCCACTGTAAGGACAGCCATGTCTCTAATAGAAAGAGCAAAAAATAGTGGCCAGATTTCCTACTTTCTACCTACCCAAGGACCAGAGTATGGACATGCATTAAAACAGGTGAGTACCAGTGACCTGAAGAACACAGAAACAAATACACATGATGTGCCTACTACGCAGGTCTCAATGGAAGATCAACAGTTGTAGATTCTAAGAAGTTTATATATTTATTAACTTTTGTGACTTAATCTTTTTAAATGTTTTTTATTAAGTTAACATATAAAGTAAAGGCTTCATTGGGATATTTTCATGCATGTTTTTTGTTCTGACTCATCCCCTTCAATTAAAGATTTTTTCATTTTAACACAGGGTCTCCTCTACTGATCTTCTAAAGGGTCTAAATGAATGATAAAGCCACTTAACATTACCATTGACAGATATAACTGAACTGTTTATTTCTACCTTTTAAAATATAGCTAAGCTGGGCAGTGGTGGTGCACACCTTTAATCCCAACACTTGGGAGGCAGAGGCAGGTGCATCTCTGTGAGTTGGAGACAAGCCTGGCCTACAAGAGCTGTTCCAGGACAGCCTTCAAAGCCACAGAGAAACCCTGTCTCAAAAAACCAAACCAAAACAAACAACCTATTATATAGCATTTACTTTGTGGTTTCTGTTTTTTTTTTTTCGAGTTATTTATCAATCATTAATTTGTAAGACTCCTTGAAAAGTCAACTTTGTATTCATCAGTCTTGTTTTATTTCTTAGAAATAAAAATCAACTCTATGATGTTTGAAAGCCAAGACTTGAGCCACCCTGGACTTTTGGTTATTTCCCGCCTCTCAATCCTCACAGCTGTTTCTCTTATAGATAATTTACACTCTCTATTTAATAGTTAAAATACGTCTCAGCATTTATGAAGTGCATTCTAGAGCCAGGCATTCTTTCCTGCCTTTAATGTATCAAGTCTTCATGCCTAGTAATGGAGGCTTGTAGTTTTTCTCTTCTTTGAAATGGCATGTCTGGAAGAAATTCTTCTACACCATGTAGTTATTTATTCCCAGATACCTGTTCATTCATGTAAATAGATACAGGTGAGTAGATGTGAAATTCCTAGTCATTTTTTATTATAATTTTAAATATTTTTGTGGTACCTATTATTTTTACACTATCCCAATTGTTAGTTGATTTTTTGGTAAGAATAAATGCTTTTATTTATTATTTCTTTAAAAGGAACATTGTCCTGGAGCATTATTCTGTATACCTCTGTTCATAGCTCTTCATATATTTGTTCAGTAGCAGGTGCCCTAAAATTACTTTTTCTATGTCTTTAGTCCTATTTTCACTTTAATTGTTTAATTTGACTGATATCATTATACTGAATTTTAAAGACCCCCCCCTGAAGCTGGGAGCATACTTTACCTGTGACCCATGTGCCCTCCCGTCTTTGGTTTTTGCTCGTCCTCTCTCTTGCTCCCGCTATGACTGGGCCCACTCCCCTTATCTCTCCTTTGCCACAATGATTCCGTAACCATTAGGTTTCTTGTAGTTCGTGACTTACCTAGAAAGGCATTTTTTAAACATTAATTTAGGAGCTGGGGATAGTGGCACACACCTTTATTTCCAGAACTCAGGATGCAGAGGCAGGGTTAAGGACACCTTGATCTACATAGTTCCTGGACAGCCCAGACTATGTAGACAGACACTGTCTCAAAAAACAAACAAACAAAAAAGTAATTTAGTTTATGTTTTTTCTTGTATGTGTAGCTCTGAACCACCTACATGAGTCCCCACAGAGGCCAGAATAGGGTGTTGGGTACAAATACTTAAAATCTACCATTTTTGTGCAAAGTATTAAACCTGAGTCCTGGATGAGCAGTAGTACTCATAATTGCTGAGCCATCTCTTCAGCTCCTTAAAAGTACTTCCTAATGATTTATTTTACATGACTATTTCAGTTTTTATAATGCTCTCTTTGATTGGGAGAACTGGAAGCAGCCCCTCCTCTCCCTTATAACAGGTCACCTCTGCACCTCAAACCATACCCAAAGGGTGTGACCACCACTACAAGTTCACTGGCAAGGCAAGATGCCACTGCAAGCTTTAATAAATGATAAATAATACATCACCACACACTTCTGTACAGAGTTACTCTTATGGTCTTTGATCTGAGTCCGGTTTTTTTGTTTTGTTTTTGTACATATACCATATTCTTAGGGTTTACTATTGGTGTGAAGAAACACCATGATCATGGCCACTCCTGTAAAGAAAACATTTAATTGAGGGTAGCTCACTTAAAGTTTTAGAGGTTCATTCCATTATAATCATGAAGGGGACCATGACAGCATGCAGGCAGATGGAGTGCTGGAGCTGAGAGATATAGATTTTGCAGTCAACAGGAAGTTTTATTTCAAACCATCACAGCTTACCAAACATTTCTTCTAGCTGAAAATGACCCATCCTATGAAGAACCCTAAAAAATATGCTAGCTAGAAAGTTGTAGTGAACAAATTAGAGTAACATGCACCTGAAAGCTAATTTAAAGGATAATTTTATGACGTTAATATCTCAATCTATGAATAAACTACTTGTTCCCTTAGTCTTCTGTGAAGTAATGGCAACTGGAGTTGACTGAACTTTATCAGAAGCTGTGTGAGAGTATTAATGGCTTTGTTTATGTTTTTGCATCATCATTCATGTGTCACTCTGGCCACGTAAAACTAGAATTTCTTTTCTTTTCATTTCTGGCTAGTAAAACTTGTAGACTATAAAGTAACTCCCTTTACCCGAGTCCTTGCTTTATGCATGTGCAAAATATTATCTTCTCAGATGGTTTTCTTGGCAAGTATCAACGTCCTTTTTGGTGATGCCAGTTAATGTGTTCATTACAGCCATGTAGAAAGATATGAAAGGGGGGTTCTTGCTTTTAGTACTTTTAAAGATAAATTTATAAAATATTACTTTAAAAAAATCACCGACTGCTTAGGTGGGTTTTTGGAACCTTGACAGTAATCCCATATAGAATAAAGGCTTTGAATCTAAGTAAATCTGGAATTTAATTTAGCTCACCCTCTGTATGTAATGCTCTCTGGCAAAACAATGTATACCTTGAGTTATTTGTTTAAAATGAAGTAATAATATTGCTTCACCCAACATAAAATGAATGCGTTGAAAGAAAAGAAGAAAAGTGTAATTCCTTAAAAGGATGATGCATGCAATAGGATTTAAATTAAAAAAAAAACAGAGCCACAAAAATGATCAACTCTAAAACAGTAAGCAATTGGGCAAATAGTAATAGCAGCTGTAGCAGAGTATTTGTACTGATATATGCACTTGCTAATTCAGTAACAAACCAAACATGACATTCCTAGC